GCCAACATAGTAAGAGCAGAGTACAAGAGTCTAGCGTGCAATACGCAACCTACCTCTCCCCGATGAGAGGGTGGGTTCAATAACCCCGGCGGCCGCGGACGGGGAGGAGTGGCATGGGTGGGGTCTGTGGAGACCGGGGCGCCCTCCCTGTGGAGGCTGTGAGGGCATCGAGACTACGGCAGCGGGACGCTGCACACGTGTGACGTATGTGGTTCGCGGCGAGGGGCCAGGGAGCGGGTAGATCCTGGCCGCTGGGGCACGGGTGCTTCTCGCCCGCCGTCTCACCGGCCTCCGCGCCGCGGTCGCTCAGAGGGAGGCCCCGGCGCGGCAAGCAGCTGCTATCATGATCGAGATTTCGAGATGATGAAAAGCGATGTGTGTATACACACGCCGCGCCTTGTAACTCTCTCTACTTGTGCCGGGCTCAAAAAGAAAGAAAGCAAACAGGCAACAACCCGCAGGTCGAATTCTTTTTCATCAATACGGCGACCAGCGCGGGAGAGCCTAGTCTGGAGCACTTGGAGCACTTGGAGTGCAGTTAGCAGCCTCACATCCAGGACCTGGAGGCCATGGCATCTCCTCTCGCTCGCTCGCAGAAGGTACGCATCAAGGACCTCACCTCTCGTGACGACCTCAACGGCAGCACCGCCACGGTTGTGCGCTGGGACGGAGGACTCGAGCGTTGGCGAGTGCGGACACCCGACGGCAAGTGCCTCGCGCTTAAGCGCCTGAACCTCGAGCCCATCTCCTCCGACAGCGACTTTGAGTCGCCGGCAGGCTCGGCGCCCGCGCTGGCTCCACCGGCGCCCACCGCCGCTCCCGCCGCCGAGGAGATGATCGGCAGCCTGGTCACCGTCAAGGGCGGGCGCTCGACGGTCAAGCTCGTGATCGAGGCGTCCACGTGCGGCACCCGCCTGCTTGTGCGCGCCGAGGGCGGATCCGGCCCGGTCTGGATCGACGCCTCCAAAGCGGCGCCGCTAGCCGCGGCGCCCGACGAGACGGTGCCGACCGAGTTCCTGCACTGCCGCGTCGAGGCGCGCTCGGCGGCGGCGGGCGGCTGCTCGTCGGGCGGCAAGCAGCCGCGCCCCTTTGGCCCCGCCGATGTGGTCGCTGTCCGCATCGATCCCGCCGGCAGGCTCCGCTTCCAGGTCCTCTACCCGGACGGCAGCCACGGCTGGCTGCTCCAGACCGACCTCAAGCCCGCTGAGCCGCTTGGCAAGGACATCTCCTCCTCCGCCTCCGCCGCCGCCGCCGCCAGTCCGGGCAGCGGCCAGGCGGGGAAGGGGCAGAAGGGCAAGAGCAAGGCGGGCAAGGCGAAGAAGGAGTGCGGCACGCCGGGCTGCAGCCAGCCCGACTTTCACCTCGGGCCCTGCTCTCCTCCGAGCAGCGACTTCACAGACTCGTCCCGCCGCGGCAAGGGCAAGGGCCGGCGCAGCGGTGGGGAGGCGGAGGCGGAGGCGGAGGCGGGGGCGGGGGCGGAGGGGGCGGTCAAGGAGGAGGAGGAGGGCGAGGCGGGAGGTGGTGAGGCTGGCGAGGAGGAGCCTCCCCTCTCGACCGATCTCTCCTGCGCAGAGCTTCGCCGCCGGTGCGGGGCTGTCGGCGTCGGCACGCGTCTCGCCTCTCTCCTGACTGGCTGGCACCTTTTCTTTGACAGGTGCGAGGCTGCCGGCGTCGGCACGTCGGGCAACAAGGAGACGATGATCAAGCGGCTCCGCAAGCGGGCGGAGCGGGAGGGCGACGGCGGCGAGGCGGCCGCCTCGCAGGCAAAGGCGCGGCGGAAGGTGCGGGCGCCCGACGACGGTTGCGCCGACGAGGAGGGCGAGGGCGAGGGGCGGGAGGGGGAGGAGGGCGGCGCTGGCGCGTCGACGAGCCGAGGCAAGGCGAAGCGCAAGGCGGCGGCCGGGGGCGGCGGAGAGGGCGGTGGCGAAGGCGACGACGAGCAGGGTCGCGTGAGCAAAAAGTGGCGCAAGGAGAACGCGCACGCGCAGGACGCGTGGGAGGAGGCGCCCGGCGCAGTGGGAGAGAGGGGGGGAGAAGAAATGAGCGGAGCGGAGAGGGTAGAGGAGGAGGAGGAGGCGCCTCGGCAGTGAGGGGAGGGGAGAGGAGAGGAGAGGGGAGGGTGGGAGGAGACGCCCGGCGACACGCCCGGCGACACGCCCACGACACGCCCACGACACGCCCACGACACGTCCACGACACGCCCACGACACGCCCACGGCACGCCCACGACACGTCCACGACACGCCCACGACACGCCCACGACACGCCCACGACATGTCCTCGTGTGCGTCAGGCGCTCAACGCGCTCCAGCCCGACTCGGACGCCGAGGAGGGGGCGGAGGCGGCGCCAAAGCCGGCGGCGGCCGCGGCGGCCTCTGCTTCGTCTTCTGAGCCGGCGGCGGGCGGGGAGCGGGAGACGTCGCCGCCTCGAGGCGCCTCTCGAAGCCGGTCTCGGAGCCGGCCTCGGGGACTTGGCAATAGGCGCGCGGCCAGCCGGACCTTGCCCGTGGGTCGTGCAGCCCCCCAAAGGAGGAGCGAGTCGCGAGAAGCATAGGCGCGCGACCCGCGGCTGCAGGGCTTCCGGATCGGCGGGCAGGCGGAGACGGCCGAGGAGAAGGGCGAGGGCTGGTGCGGGCCGTGGGCGACGGCGCGCGCACTGCTTGACAAGCGAGCGGCCGCACTCGCCGAGCGGCAGGAGGAGCTCGGCGGCGAGGCGCGGGACACTTCCGAGACACTTCCGAGGCACGTCTGCGGCACCTCCGAGGCACCTCCGAGGCACTTCCGAGACACGTCCGAGAACTCTCCCAGTCCTGCCTCCCTCTCTCTCCCTCTCTCCCTCTCCCTCTCTCTCCCTCTCTCCCCCTCTCTCTCGCCCGCCGCGTGCGCCTGCTGTGAGGAGGACCAGCGCCGCGCCGCCGCCCTCTGCACCGCCCCGCCCCTCGCTGCCAGGCGCCGCCCCCCCTCGTCGAGTGGTCCCCCAAGCGCGAGTACGAGGCGGCCGCCGCGCGCCGCCGCCGCAGCGCGCCGGAGCCGGTGCCGACGCTGCAGGCGCTCGCCACGGAGTTCGTGTGCGCCAACATCGATTGCGTCGAGGACTTTGGCGCGCGGAATGACCCGAGATCAGCCGAGATCAGCCGAGATCAGCCGAGATCAGCCGAGATCAGCCCGAGACCACTCGAGACTCGAGCATCGTCTTCGTCGAGGGCTTTCTCCCGGACCTCCGATGGCTCGCACCCTCCCTCTTTAGGCGCGCTGACGCCCGCAGTGCAGCACGCGCTCGCGACGGAGCTCTGCCGCCGCCGCCTCTTCCGGCAGCACCTCATCCCGCCCTCTGGCCCGGGCCAGCCATCCTGTCACGCCCACCGCACTTTGCCCCCCCGCCGCAGGCAGCCGCAGCTGCGGCTCCTCGCGCCGCCCGGGTACCTTGGCCCTCTGAGCCAATCGCGCACGCGGGTGCGTCGCTGACGCGCCCGCGGCATGCTGTCGCAGGCTTCCCCTCTCGGAGCTCGTTGCGCCCGACTGCCACCAGATCGACGAGCAGGCGCTGCACGAGACGCTCGAGCCGCTCGCCTGCCCAGGCTCGCCCCTCGCCTAGATGCGGACTGCACATCCAGAGCCTCTCCCAACTGGCACTCGAGGAGACGCGGCTTCGGATGCACCGCCCCTCGCATCGAGCCCCTCGCATCGACGCTTTGGAGGGCCCTCGCACCCACGCCAAGGTCCACGCTGCGCTCACCTCGGGTGTGTCTTCCCGGCGCCAGACTCGCGCCTCGCGCTGCTCTCGCTCGGCTTTTGCGGAAAGTGCGTCACCACGGCCACCTCGCAGCTGATCGCGCGCATGGGCGCCCTCGAGTCGCTCACTCTCACGGGCGCGTACCGCCTCACCGACGGCTGCGTCGCCGCCATCTGCGGCGCGCGCGGCGCGGCGCTGCGCTCGCTCAAGATCTCGGGAAACCAGCAGCTCACCGCCGCCTTTGTGGCCTCCATCGCCAGCGAGTGCGATTCGCTCGAGAGGCTCGCGCTGGAGGAGCGGACCCCGCCCGCTGCCGGCCGGGCGAGGGCCGCGGCCTTGCGGTCCTCACCCCCCCCCCTCTCGCTTGTGCGTACAGGACCTCATCTACTTGCCCGGCGAGGCGGCGGCGCCGATCGGCCGGCTCACGCAGCTGCAGTCCCTCTCCTTCCGCGGCACGCGGCTGCTCTGACTCCTCCTCGCTGCTCTTCCGGGACACCTCCTAGACCTTTCCAGGAACCTTCCTGCAGGCACGCGTCTGCTCGTCTCCTCCTCGATGCTTGCGGCCGTCGGCGGGTCGGCGCACTGCCTCGAGGCGCTCGACTTGGGCGGCTGCACCGTCCTCTCGGCCGACGCCGTCGCCACCGCCGCCGAGGCGCGCGTCCGGCGGCGCGAGGTCTGCCCGGAGCCCTTTCTGAGCCCTTTCTGAACTTCCTCTGGTGACCGTCACGCAGGCGTGCCCACGGCTGCGAGAGCTTTCCCTCGACGGCGTCGAGAACCTCACCGACGACGCGCTCGGCCGCATCGCCGCGGCGCGGCGCGGCGCCCTCTCGAGCCTCTCGCTGCGCAAGTGCGTCCAGCTCTCGGACGGCGCCATC